ACACAATTTAATTCTGCGCCGCCGCAGAAGATTGATCGATGTTTTGAAATAGAACGAATTTTAAGCTTCATTATTGGCACAGAGTAAATAAAAGTTTACGCTTCGCTAATCATGTTTTTAGTAAAGGATTAAATTGAATTGTGACTGTTTGTAGATACTACAAGTTTATGTTTGTAAATTACACACTAAAAATGTATACTGAGGTACTCCCCTAGTAATTATTAAGATGTCTTTGAATTAGTTTTTGATAGTAAAATATATATTGAAGTTTGATCAACTATACGTGTTAAATAAAAATAAAATCTCAATGTAGTCTATTTTTGTTGCAAAAGAATCTTAAATCTCGGTAAGTTTTAAAGCAAATTATTCGAGTTAGGTTTGTTGTAAAGTTATCCTAACTTTTAATAGTGTTCACGTCAACAGAAATATCTCTTCCGCGACATCGCCCCGAGCGTTGCGAGAAATTCACACTGAAATATCGATTTAACTTGTACTGTCCACACTAACAACAAAAAAGTTATTAATTTCTTAGAGCGGATGAAAATCTTGAGTAAACTATCGCACGACTGTTGTGCGATTGTCGATTGTTTCGCAGCCCATTTAACTGTTTAGTTGCACAACTAAAAATCGAGTAGTGTGCGCACCTCCATAAAACCTCATAGGAATCAAAGCACAACTAAACAGTTGTGCGATAGTTTAGTTAATGGTGTGCTCGCGCTCTTTATGCATACTATCATACCTCAATGTTACAAACCATTCATGTCACATGTATAAGAACATTGTTTTTGTCTCTATTCTAAAGGAAATGAAAGGGATGAGAATATTATTGTTATACCACGAGTATTACAATTAGAATGGTGTAAAATCACCGTAATGTTTAAATGCACATAGTCAAACAAAAAAAACTTTCTTTCCAAAGTCAGAGCTAAAAGTGCTCGAGACGACCGACTCGTCACGTGTTAAAACAAAACAAAAAAAATCGTGCACGAAACAAAAATGGCGCTAAAATTCGGCAGAATGTCAAAATTATATGAACCTTACTCGGGTGAGGTTCGTAGAATTTGTTGTCAGGTTGGCCTTAGTATTTAGTATTTACTTAACAGCTTTTTTTTCACGTGTAATTTGTGTACATGTTTTTTATCGTCACGTTCGACATCTATGCGTATGTAATTGCGGATGGTGTTTATAGTCCCGATACTGCAGCTTTAATTACGAGAATACTATGTATGCTTTAATATACGTTTAAATAATGTATGAAATTAGAAAATTATAAACGTTACTCCCGGCCCGGCATGTCAATAGCAATCAATTATGTACATGTGAGCTCTAATTTCCCCCGCGGGTGATTTGTTACATCAGCATATAATCATTCGCGTGTCATTTATTATGCTTTTATTTACATAACATGTTTTTTGTTTTTTAATCTTTAGTAAATTGTCAATAAAAGTTCTTAAGATTTAGAGCTGTTAAGAGCGGGAGTAAAGATTTGCCTTTCTTTTTAACTTTTTTTGACCGACTTCCCAAAAGAAGGAGGTACTCAATTCGTCTGTATGTTTTTTTATGTGTGTTACCACATAACTCCGCCGCTAATGGACCGATTTTGATAATTCTTTTTTTATCCGGAAGGTGCTTGCAGGTGGGTCCCAATTTTTTGTTTGATTTTTGGAGTTAAAGACTACGACGTAGTTAAATAGTTTAGCTCAAAATCGCGCGACGAAATTTAGGGTGATTTTTCTTGACACATACAGTATAGAAAAATTGGGCAGTCTTATTTTTTTTAATATTGTCTTTCTTGGCTCTAATGAGTTTATTATGCCTGATTCATACTTAGCGCAAGCAAGGCATGGGTTTTATGGACTCAGTGGCGCCTCAGTGTACTTTATGCCAGTCGAGTGCCGGTCCAGTTATTGTATGTTATCGTCCAACTGTACTGGTTAAGTGTGAACAATGCATACGCAGTTGATGAAAAACAAATAATAAACTTGGTTCAATTGAGAACTTAAAATATTTTTATTTATCTCATATTCAATCCGAAATCTTCGTTTTATTGTACATACATTTGTTTTTGCAATAATAGTTACTCTATAAACAATATATTCACTTGGGAAATCAGGATATAAATTTCCATTTCACTAGTTCCCGGATATGTGGATATCCGAGTTTGTTTATTTTATTGGGAATTTAAAGATATCAAGTCTCTTGGGTGTCTGATTTCAAGCAACAGTCTTGTCATTGATAGACGAAAATTGGAATGTTTCCGATGTAAAATATAATATTTTAGAAATATAAAGTTTGTACTCGTATATTATAAAGTCTAGTATGTACAAGTAAATTTTCAGTGTTTTCATAGATTTTTCTTTTACAATACTTTCGATTAATATCAATAAAGACTTGCAAATATTAACGACATTATGCTTTTGTTTTTCTTAACTGTATAACACAATACAGCTTTATTATTTAAAGAATCTGTGAAATCAGTGGAAACAATTTACCATAAACGTCACCGACGCTAAAACGCTCTCAGCAATTGTATCGCGTTGCATTCCGCCATTAGTGCCACTCGAGACACCAGATGAAAAATAATTGGGCAATAAAAGCTGCTTTAACCAAAAACTGTAACCGCACTACGAGTCACTTGCGACAGACGAGTACTTCAATACGAATGGCGCTGGTATCAAAACTCGCAATCGGTTTTCATTGAATTTATTAATGAACACATATTGAAAGCGTTAAAAAAGTTACGAGTAGACTAAAAAGTCATACAATCGCGACAAAAAATAGCATAAATAAAAAAGTAACGCAATAACCAAACAAGAGAAATTAAGCCTCCCAAAACACTTCGTTATGCTTCTTAACAACATGATTATAAAAAGAAACAAAAAAAGTTATTACATAAACAACTTATTGCTACCGTCAAAATTATTGAAGAACTTTCACGAAAAAAACTTTTTAATAAAGCATACGAACTGTATTTTTAAAAATATTTCCTTATACGAGAAAACATTTGACATCAGATCAGATTTAAGGCCATTAAAAGTTTTCCGTGTGCAAAACGTTGACGCTTCAAATTCGAATGTACGAGTACATAACCTTAAAAATGGTTTTTAAAAGTAGATGTAGGAGGCAAACATTATTTCAATAACATCTGGCCTCTAACTTCCAAATGCGAAATTAATAATTATTAGTAGCAAAATTCAATAAATTTTCTTTATTGTTTGTGAAAATACATTGCGTACTGTTTCTTCTGCGGATTATGGCTACCTATAATTGGTTTTAGCATATTTTTCTTTTAAATAAATGGTTGACATCGACGTACGTTGTAAACATAAACATTATCTAGACAAATTTTTGAATGGATATTCGGCACAGTATCCGCATGGGAAATCGAGATATATATTTCCATTCCGTATTCTCGAAACTCCATATGTCTTTTTATCCTGAAAACAAGAATGTAAAATCTCAAGAGAATCTGGAATATGTTGTTATGGAAGAATAGTAAACATTTCTGTTTTTATTTCATAATTAGCATGTGCTTTATTACTTGACAACTATTATTTTAATTCTATGAAGAAGTCAGCAGAAGCGAAAACCAAGAATATAATGTGGACGGCATTAAGGAAGGAATTAACAAAAATTCTCAATCCTTTTCCTTAATATCTGTAAATACTAAAACGAAAATGCTATAAAAAATTAAAACAATAGGAGTCAGTATAAATTCGGTTTATGTAAGACCTTAACATTTTAGAAGAGTTAATGCTTTTGAACTAACTCCGAAGGTGGGAGAAGTTATCTCTTGAAAGGCATCTTAGTGGAAGTGAACACTATTAAAAGTTAGAGTAACTTCCTGTGGAAACTGACATTACAAGTTTATTTTAAAACTCGCAGCTTTCAAGGTACATCGCCTCTTTCGATTCACCGGTCATTTTAGATAAATACTGTTTCAGAAAGAGATATTCCTGAGTAAATATTGGACATAAATTCAATACGTTGAACCAATTGAAATTTTTTATTTTATTTTTCAAAGTTACTAAAAAAAATCTAAATCCTAAATTACAAAATTTAAATCATTATTTTTTCAGTTAGTTTAAAATCTTGTCCATTACCTTGGTAGAGGCATGTTGAGTACATCATAGAAATCATGGTAAGCAGAAAAAAAATCGTGCAAAAATCTTGTTGCACAAAATCGTTACGTACATCTCATAGAGACACAAAAAAGTAAAGATAAGGTCCACGGTTCCTTCTATGCAATGCCTAAAATCTACTAATTGGATTGGAGGCAACAAACTCCTAAATACCTCTGATTAACGCGCTAGCGTCGCTGTGCGGTGCTCGAGACGAGCTATTCGTCACCTGTTGAAAATAATTACGCAAAAAAATCGTGTTTAAAACAAAAGTGGTGTAGCACCGAACAGCGACCTCTGTGCCACTCACTCGACAGAAAAAGCTCGAAATTCAACGCGGATTTCGGCGCAGATTTTTTTTTTACCGAACAAACTATTCCGAGGTTTTCACTGGCACGGTTGCACGCTTCACTAAATTTACAAAAGAAAAATAAAACGCGACTTTTTCCGTTTCGATTACTTTTTAATCTAGACACAAAATCGAAAAATATAAAATCAGTTTTCCGAATTTTCTTGATTATAGTTCTTGGATACTTACAGTTCACAATTTGTCATCAGTTTATTATAAAACTAGTATGAATTAAATAAATGCTTGTATTTTAAAGAACCAAATGTAATTTGTATTTAGCAAGTATACAAAATAAAATATTATTTATATTTTCATTACAAATGAATAAGAAACCATTGTGGAACAGGTTTCAATTACTTTTTTATTAATTTATTTTAGAACCATTGTTACAAAAATTCGTGTTACAAAATCACATTTGGATCATAAATACGTTAAATAATCAAATATGTTTACAGCAAGGTATGATTTTTAAGTAAACGGAACGTAACCCGCAGGCTACAGATGTCAATGTCAAATGTCAATGTCATTTTACCATGTAAGTTTTGTAAACTCGTGAAATGGAATTTTCGTTTCAATTGTAATCCCTTTAATACATTTATGACTAGCCCTAGATGAAAACAAAAATGGACGGAATTACAGCCGAGATGCTTCAAAATAAAGGGGCAACATTTGTCTTCTTAGGAGTACCCAAAGGTACGGTTTTCGGTATCGATTTGAAATGTTGGCGTACAGATGAAGAATTTCGTGGTATAAGATTAATACCTCCAGGAATGCACTATATTTATTACGCATCTTCATCAGAAACAGAATTAGACGATGTTTCTCAAAGGTATGATCTACTACAAAAATGGGTAAAACATTGCTATAGACAATTACTTACTTTTATGAAAAATAACCTCTTTGTTATAGATCTGGATTCTTTCAATATTTTAATGAAAATGACATTATTGTTAAAATGTGGGACAAACAAACAGAGGATGTTAGTACGGAAATTGTGAATGAAGAAACTGTGCAACGGATAAGACTGAACCTAAGTAATTTAGACAGATATCTTGCTCCATATCCATATGATGTTTGGTCTCGATGGCACTGTCTAACTAGGCAAATAACAGGTAATAGTAAAACAAGACAGTTTTTTATCCCACATCTCATCAGATGAATATTTTTAACAGCTAGAATATTGAAGGCAAATGTCCAGAAATAGAAAATTTTAAATTACAAGATATGGTTGTACAGCTTATTTTATGATAATGAAATCATTTATTTGCTAGCATAAAACCTTGTTTACTTACTACAAAATACCATTTTTGTGATTTACAGCACCTTTAGCTAAAAAGCTTTCCCCAGAAAAAGGTCTCATAAGGTCAGAAGAGTTCCATTCTGTACCTGATTCAGAGAGACCTAGAGGTGTAAAAAAGTCCAAAGATTGTTCAGAAGATGGAGAAAAGCAGAAAACTATGGAAGATAGTGGAGAACCATCTCCAGGGACATCTGAAAATTGCAGTAAAGGAGAGAGCTCTGCTCAATCAAGTCCTGGGTGTTCTGGTTCTAGAAGATTGAGTAGAATGACAGAGAAAGAGAGAGAAGATGCTATGTTACCTAATTTAAAGCCAGTTGAAGGTTAGATATACTGGAGGTCAAATTATTGCCCACTTTGAAATGATGGGAAGTGGATTTAGAGAGAAGGGGATGCACAGGAATGGGAAATATAATTTTTTTGTTTGTCCCCTTCTCTGTAGTTTAAAGGTAGGCAAATGCATCTGTTGTGGATGTCAATGGGTAGTCATTGTTTCATTCAGTGAATCCATGTGACCACTTGTTCATGCCACCTTATATAAAAAAATTAGCTTTGGTTCTTAGCATTTTATTTTATTCCATAACAGGAAAGTATTGATTTAATAGAACCTGAATTAAATTTTTTGCAATCACTTCAAACCATTACCATATTTTCAAATTAATTGTTTAAATTACTACAAACACGACTTTTTCTTTGATTTCAGGCACAGTTATGAGATTTACAGAAATACCGAGGAATAAATACCCACCTGGCTCTACACCAATGGAAATAACAAAGCATCATCTGGACCAGTCTTACACTTTAGAGTTCATAATTTCTCAACATGAAGAGTAAGTTTTTATAAATCAACTATCTGTTCCCATGCTATCTGTTCATCTGCATGAAATTATAAAAACTTTATTTTACTATTTACATGTGTTAAATTATCAATTGCAAATGAAACCGTGGCAATCTTGCTTCTTTAATGTTGGCAGCAACTTATGGTCTCTTTCCCACATTAGGGTTTTTATCCAAAAATGTTTACCACCTATGTTTACTGGCGTTAAAATATATAGCCTTAAGTGTGAGGTTTGTGTAGGGCTTTTTAGTAAAGAAAGAATTATTCAAAAATATGCTGTAATTGCTGACATCTTAGGCAACAAAGAAGTGTGTGTTTACGCTTTATTATAATAGTATAGATAACACCCATAAATATGCAAATCATATGCATCATTTGGTAACAAACCTAATGCAAGATTTTTGACGATCCCTCTGAGTTATTGGTTTATACTGTGCTAGTTTTAGTGTGTCTTTGTCTGTCCGGAATTTAAAAACCTTAGCTTACGTTTTCTTCCAGACTATGTTCTCCATCTATACAAAATATATAGTAACTAACATCCATCCATCCATGCATTTATAATAATTATATTCAATAATTGATCACATTCGAGGTTTTAGTAATTGCAATTCTTTTTATTTTTGTATGGAATAGTTTTAATTGAAAATCACTTTACTTACAGACCTCTTAACATCGTTGGCGAGTTGCAATTTGCATATACAATATTTCTTATTGGTCATTATTGGAATGGTTTCGACCACTGGAGGAATCTTGTTATATTATTGTGTTCGTGTGAAGACGCCATAAATAAATATAGAGATGTTTTTATACATTTTATAGCAACTATTCATTACCAAATGAAGGAATTACCTCTAGAATTTCTCTGCGGAATTGACATGGATCAAAATGTTTTCTATAAAAAGTTTCGTGAATTATTCCGCAATGTGAATGGAGCGAATTCAAGTCAAAAGATAGTAATGATGATTGAGAGATTTAAACAAAACTTGGCAGAATTATTTCAATGGCGGTTTCCGAATGATGATACTGATGATGAAGATGACAAACCAGTTGTTGTAGAAACGGAGGAAATTAATGAATGAACTGATAAATAATTCTAAGAATAAACATATACTATTAAAAAAATTGTTTAATTTTTCATTGCCAGGATGAGGATGAGGCAATGAAAAATCCTTATACTTAAGGGTTGTAATTTTGTATTAAAAAAACAACAATATCCTGAGAAAATCAAATGTATTAAACTTAAAACAAGCCTTATTTTACATTATCATTGTTTAAATTACTACTTTTTCTTCTTTAACTGTTTGCTTGGCAGCTTTTTGTTGTTCTGCTTCTCAAACTTTGGCTTCTTCGATGACACAGCTGGTTCTGAAATTAAAAGTACACACAAATATTAATATTTTAAAAAGGAAAGATTTGTATTTTTGGAATGTTTTAAAATAATTCAAAAATTACTGAATGTATTTAAAAGATTCTTTTACCAATGTTATTAGTTAGTAACATAAGCTAATACTTTTTATTATTTTTCATTTAAGGGGACGAAGTCGTGTGCAACAACTAGTTAGGTATAAATAGTATTGTAACATCCATATAAAATAATAACAGTTTTTTTAAGACATCAAAAATTACAACTTACTTTCATTCTGCTTCCTCTTCATCTGCTGCATAAATGTTTCTTTTACTTTTGGTTTACTTGTTGCTGCAGGAACTTCCATCTTTTTACTTTCCTTCTTCTTTTTCACAGGCAACTCTTTACTGCAACTAAAAGTTAAACAATGAAAAAAGGATTTATTTAACAATTACTATCTACATGACATTTTTAATTTAAGATAATCTTTTACAATATGTGGGATATTTCGTGGGGCATGTTTACTCTTTATTATATGAGTATAGAAGATAACTAACCTGTCACTATTATCAACAACTTCATCTGGTTTTAATTTATTTTCATCTATATTGCTTTCTTCATAATTCATAATTATTTCTTCATCACTTGACCCAATTTCTTCACGAATTGCCTTTAATTCTTTTTGAAATTCCTCGGACTCAAATTCGTGAGAACTATCACTTTCGACTCCATCTACATAAAGTGACATGAAATCTTCTAAAGATTTAAGTCCTGCAGCTTTGAGTTTTTCATTTCCATCAGTCTCAACTTCTGTAGACTCTTTATTTTCCATTCTACTTTTTGCAATTGCCTTCATTTTCTCTATACTTTTTGTGTACCTATTTTTAGGAACTACTGCAGATTCATCTTCTTTAGATTGTTCAGCTTTGACCTCTTTCTTTTCTTTTATCTTTTTTGTTGTGGCTTTTTCTTTTTTTGCATCATTTATTACCTCATTTGATTCAGCAACTGTTTTATCTTTCTTGCCTTTCTTTTTTTCTAATTTCTTGTCGAGTTTCTCATCAAGAATACCATTCTTGTCTGAAATTTACCAATTACATTAAATTGTGTATTTCATATTTTTTAAATCTCAACATTTTTATAAGTTAAGTTTAAGTAGAAAAATTTGTTTGAATTTTAATTTGTGGTTCAGTAAAGAAGTTTCTAAATCTATATATTATAAATGTAAAAGTTTAAATGGATGGTTGAAGAAGTTTGTGGCCTAATGACTGAAAGGACCTTAATGAAATTTGAAATAGGTATAGAGCATAATCTGGAACAAATAGAAACTTTCTTTTGTTTTTTTAAATCCATGCAGACAGAGCCACGGGTGAAAGCTAGTAATAAAATAATTTGCTTACCTTCATCTATTTCTTTTTTCACTTCCATCTTCTCCGTTAATCCCTCTGGTACATCAACAGGTGTGAAAAAGTCATAATCTATACCCAATTCTTTAAGTTTATTCTTTGTATTTGTTAAACTGTAAAATATGTGTTTAATTAAAATACAATAATATATGAAGTTAGTTCGATTTTGAATAAAAAATATATTTACTTGGTAAAAAGTTTGGATGCTATTTTCATGTCTTCCTTATCACTCTTCGTTGCATTATATGCCTGGAATAGAAATATTATTGTGTAAAGTATATTAATAAATAGGAAAGTTTAGATGGATGGTCAAAACTATTGAAAGCAATTCTATGAAACAGGAACAGATGTAAAACATACTACTTAATAATCTTTTTGTTATTCTATGCCGTCTGTGGGAGGCAAAAACTAAATTTTATATTATCTTTGTAACTAATATCAATACATAATAGCTGTTTTATTTATTTACTCAAATAAGGGTTTTGAAACACAAGCTTTTTTCTCCATTTTACAAATTTATATCTTACCTTTTTCATATTTAACTTAGTTCTTGCCCCAGGGTTATTTTGCAAGTTCCAATTCTTCCTTCTAGCGTTTACTCTCTGATCTTTAGGAGGAATGTAGACAGCTGAAATTTAATATAATGGTTAGTTCAGATCATTGGTATAAAAATGATAAAAAACATAAAAACAGTACTAGTAAAATATGTTTATTTATTACCTTTAATTAACCTTTTCCCCATTAAATAATTGTTCATTGTCTCTGCCACAACCTGGGCAACTGCCGGGTCTCTGAACTCAACAAATGCATGCCCCTTGGAACGACCAGTGCGTTTCGATTTGATAACCCTTGCATTAGTCACCATACCAAACTGCTTAAAATATTCTGTCATTTGGTGCTGAAATACATAAGATAATATCATAAATTCATGCCGTAAGGCCTAACCGACATAACAAATTGTAAACTAACCTCGTAAAATCCATGAGGTATGTGTGACAAATAAACTAAACCCCTCCTCGAAAGCCTCTTCTTTTTAATTTTTCCACCTTTGATGGATTTCTTTTCTTTTCGTGGTTTCTCTGGTAAGGCACCAGTTTCCTGATAAAATATAAGTATAATGCAAAAAGCAAAAAAAGTACAACCTATACAACGGTAACAAAAACTGAAATATTACCTTCATCAACTTTTTAATCCCTTTTAGGGATTTTACGAACTTATTCTGTTTTTTAGAATCTAAAGCTACGTGTTCCTCCATTTTTAAATAGTTTATAAGTATTATTTATATTTAATAAGAGCAAGAATATCTATCTATCTGTTAATGGAGAGCAAGAATAAAAACGCAAAACCCACATGTGAAAACAGAAAACGTTTTGTGACATTGACATCTGTCTGATAATTTTGTTAACACAAAGAGTAAATGGCATTCCATTGAGTAGACAAAACGTTTTATTTTGTTTAAAGTTCCTTTTTAATTAGTTTAAAAATCATCTCTCTTACCCCAATCGAATGGGATCTGCGAATAAGGCTTTATGAATCTTAAAGTTTTGGCTTAACTAATATGACCGTCGGCAACCTTACTTGGGAAGTAATTCATGTTTCAACCATTTTGTATTTGCCGCGAATACTTGGCGAATACGTTTGCTTCGAAATGTTCGATTTTAAGCCGGAAATCTGACCATTCTGAAACCTTATGCTGCGATATAGCGATAAAACTTCCAAATCAACCTTTGAGGATCAAATTCTGTATAATCTACGTTTTAATACTCTTTGAGTTGATTTTTTTTGTTTATTGTTGACATCTGTTGTCAGAGAAAACTTCAAAGAATCGTTTTCGAAAAAATATCATATTTGAACATTACAAATAAAACTTGTAAAAGTTATAGCTGATTATTGATAATTGAATGAACTTAGAGTTCTGTCAACGTGTTAACTTTATTTTATTATATAATAATTAAAGATGTCTTATACCGGCACGCTTAACCAATATATTCAATTGGTAGAAAGAGTATACAGAACAGGACAAGGGGATATCCTAGCGAGATTGCTTTCCCTTAAAGATGAACACGTCGGGAACAGAAACTTGCGTTCCAGTAACATAGCTTCACTTGTGGATGGAAATTGTGTAGCACCTTTAGACGAGATTATTATTTACCATCTATTATGTGTAAAGGTAGCTTTTAAGAAAATTTGTACCATTTAAAATCGCGACTATTTATGTAAACAAGTAATTTCGAGGACCTAAAACTTACTAGTATATTTGTAGATGTATGAATGTAGAAGAGGTGACAAATGTGTCTGTAGTCTGGTGTCTAATCTATTTTTTTGGCGTTTGTATGTACAAGTACCAAGTAGATACTCCTAATTACGTATTTTTATGCCAAATTCTTTTGTTGAAGGCACTTGTAATTACAGGCATTACATGACAAAGATTATATGGAGGCATATGATAGCCAAAGTGCTTGTGTTGCCTCAGTTGTGAAGATGTTGCAAGGACAGAAAGATGAGAACTGGAGTCTGCCACTTATGTACACTGTATGTTTAGATCTACGATTAGTTGCTCAAAAAGCTGAAGAGTGTAACCGTAAGTTTTTTCTTATCACAGGTTAATTTATTACTTACTTACTTCTCCTGAAGCTGCACAGAATGAAATAAAAGGATATGTTATATCTGATGTTTTGCATCTGTGTCTAATATAGTCTTCAAAGGATAACCAACTCTGAAGATACCTTCTTACCAACCACTATCTATTTATTAATCTAAACTTTTACATTTATACAATTAGTAACTAATGTTACCTAAATTACAAAGATATATGAATCACAACTACTAAAAGATATAAGTAATCCTGTTATTCATTACTAACTTTAACTTAAAGTTTATAAATGTTAACTTGTAAACTGATTTACATGTAACATCTGCAAATCCTAGTTATACTGTACTTACAAACTTTTTATTCTTATATTTCAGATCAAAACAATGGAAAGATATTAGAAAAGGCGGCTGAGAGTCTTCTCGCTTGCTTCAGAGTGTGTGCTGCTGATAATCGTTCATCTGATAGTGATACAAAGCGTCTGGGAATGTTGACACTCGTTAATCAACTTCTAAAAGTCTACTTCAGAATAAATAAACTGCATTTATGTAAGCCTCTTATAAGAGCTATTGATTCGTCACCATTCAAAGATCAATTTCCATTAGCGCAACAAATAACTTACAGGTATTTTGTAGGACGGAAAGCTATGTTTGATTCTGATTACGGTTCTGCAGATGAATATTTGTCATACGCATTTCAGAAATGCCATAAAGACAGTAGAAAGAATAAAAGACTGATCCTAACTTATTTGATTCCGGTTAAAATGCTCCTAGGTTATATGCCATCGAAAACTTTACTAGAAAAGTATGATTTAATACAATTTTGGGATTTAGTATTGATGGTGAAAGATGGTAATCTTCGAGGTATAGATCAGGTTATGGAAATGCATGAAAATTTCTTTATCAGAGCCGGTATTTATCTGATTGTTGAGAAGTTAAAAATAACAGCTTACAGGAATTTGTTCCGTAAAGTATATTTATTAGAGAATACACATCAAATTGATATTGCCAGTTTTCAAGCTGCGTTACAATTAGTTGGGCAAGATGATGTCGATTTAGATGAAACTCAATGTATCGTTGCTAATCTTATTTATGATGGGAAAATAAAAGGGTATATTTCGTATCAGCATAAAAAGGTGGTTGTTAGTAAACAGAATGCGTTCCCACCTTTGACTAGTTTGTACCAATAATGCCAAAAACAATATTATTCTCTTATACCTACATATCAGTAAGATATAATAGTTCTTTCTGTAATGTTACATAACTATCACATTTAAGTAAATAGATAAAATAGTAAGCTTACTTAAAGTTGCATTTTTAACTTCTCATCCATTTTTTTAAACAGAATTTATTTTTAATATAATACTTCGTAAGTATTTTTTTTTTTTTTCAAGAAAAATATGCTGTTTTAAGAAACTAGGGTAACATTAGTGCCAAAAAGAACTAAGTTTTTTTTTTAAATAAAACATGGATGTTCTAAACATTTTTTTTATTAAATCCACAATATATTTCAAAGAATAATACAAATATTATAAATTTCGCTGGCCACTAACATAGCGTTACGATAAACAATGCATTATTTACGAAGTCTTAACATAGTGTGGTGTTTTTATAAGGAAAATGTCTTCTATGTTTCTATATATTTTGTTTCTTAATATTTTACTAAACATTTTTTGATCTAAATCTTGAGAAGAAAATTGTGCAATTAACTATTTTAATATAAATTTGGTAAAGAAACTTGCGTTTTTGTTTATCGAAATTAGTCTAGGATTTTTCATTGGTAATGTTGAATGTTTGCTGAAATGTTTAAAATATTTCTTTGATTTGATATGTCGTTGATATGCAATCTATGCAATTGTTTTTATGATACGAATTGTTCACTGACAGGTGAATTTCTTTTTGGTTAATTTTTATTTTTTCTGGAAGACAATTAATTAAAATAGTTAATTGCATAGAGTCGAAGATTGGTAGAAAAATATGAAGTATTTCTCTAAATATAATTTTGCTTTATATTAAAATATTTACTATGATATAACCGTATAGCACTTATGAGTAAATGTTGCCACTACGTTGCTTTAATATTGAGAAGTAAAATTGGATTCTTATTAGAATTTGAAATTATGAAGTGTAGTTATTTAAATGTAACAGGATTCTCCTTTAAATCTATAAAAAACCCTAGTTTTTGTTTAAAAAACTTTTGATAATACTCCTTCAAAAATTACCGTTGTTATTTTTAAAGAATATGATTTTTTACTTATATTAAAAGCATTTTGGGAGTAACATAGAAGCAAATATAACCTATAATGTATGACTGATGGATTCACAATTTTATAAATTGTGTAGTTTTATCTAAACATATGGATTGTGTAGAATTGTAGATTAATAAATTGTTTTTTTTTTATAACTATATACAAAAGTCCTTAAATTCTAATCAATTCAGGTACCTAAGACTACCTTTTTGGCATTGCACTACAAATGTAAGGGGAAAAGTTCAAAAGGTAATTTGATATTGAGACATGTTTTTTGATATTTAAGTCTATATTACAATGTATATTTCAAGCTTCTAGTAAATTTCAGAAACAAAATTAAACAATAAAAAGTTAGGGTATAGAAATGGTTCTTTGAAATATTTTTTTAACTACCCTCAATTCTTACGTACAATGTGAGTGTTATAGGGCGTTTATCGCAAAAAAATATCCTTCAAGAATGCGAAGTAAATTTTAGGAATAAACACAGCTTTAAAATATAGGCGGGATATTTCATCTTTTTATCGGAATGGTATACATAAATGATACTTAGCTAAATTATAAGTAAACATACATTTGCTTATATTAGAGACGCAAATGGCACACGTAAGACCTAGTTTCTCTCCGGGTAGGGCAGTTTGTGCGCGGCCCGCAGCAGCTCGTCCTGGTAGGCGGCGAGCAGCGCGCGCGACACGACCGGCTCCGGCGCGCCGCGCGCACCCAACTGCCGCAGCGCTCTGACACCACGGAAATGTTAACACTCAGATACAGCGGACGTATTAGTCCCATATTCAAAGCACTGCTGTACTGTAGTACTGCTACCCAGGTACTGTACTACACAATACCTGAGTGAGATTTCTGCGGCGTCTCCCTTTTTAACAATATAGGAGGGTGGGGACAAGGTTATGTGAGTTTAATTCGCAGACATGTACGCTAACGGGCAGGGTTACTGCTGCTAGAACTTCTAGCCTGGCTTTAGTGGAAGAATTGGTGCCTTAATGGTTTTGAATGAACTTTTGATAACCCCGTATTGATATTAAAGCCAACACCATCATGTGTGTCAAAAAAGGTCAAAAAACAATGGTAATTAAAGAATTTACTTGGTAGCGGGGCTGAGTCCGACCGCATCTCTGGGCTGCAGCAGCTCGGGGTGGTCGCCGATGGTGTCCGTCAGCGCAGCGATCATTACATCTGGAAACAGTATCGTATCGATTATCTAAAAGGACAAAAGAAGTAACATGGCGAAGGGCGAGATGGTTTTACAACTTTTTCATGACTCTTATGCAAGACAAGTTCTCGCCCGAGAAAAAAAACACAAAGGTAAGTAGCCTATGTTTTCTTCCAGACTATATCGTACAACTGTGCCAAATTTTATCGAAATTCATTCAGTTATTAGGCTACAAACTCTTAACATCCATCCAAAGTTTTGCAATTATAATAATAGTAAGATGTACCGAGGACTTTCTTCTCGATGGTGCGCGATAGCTGTCCGCGCTCCGCCTCCAGCTCGAGGAAGGCCATGAAGCGCTGCGTGGCCGCGCGCGCGCTCGCCGGCTCGCGCGACAGCGACTGAGAGAACATCATCTGGAAATACCGTACCATAAAGTACTGTTTCAACTTTTTTTATAAGGTGGCAAACGACCGTGCGGTCACCTACACTCGCCGAAAAGGGAAAGCGACCGCTGCTCATAGACAACTTGAGATGCGTTGCCTTCCTTTAATTGATGGTGAAGAACGCACAATAAGAGGATATTTCCCCTTCCTATGAGTCTCAACCATCAATGCATTTTATCCTTCCATCCTTTTCATACTAGAAAAAGATGGAAAAAGAGGGGGATTAAAAACCCCTACTGATGTAGTCTACCTTTACTAGCGTACCAGCTTTAAATCAACAAACAGACCCTCCTAGCAACGTTTTACATGATTCCGAGTGTCGCAGTTTTTTAGCTATCGGTCGGCTAAGCTATCGGTCTAAAACGTAATTACTAACCTTAGCCAGTTGATAAATAATCTCCTCCAGAGTGTACTCAGTGTATAAATTATCTGCAGCTCGAAGTTTCTCCATCATCTCCTCGTACTCCTCCTCTGTTATAATTTGTCCGTCGCGTTCGTAATCAGAAGTACCTGGACAAAGAGAAAGATGTTATGAACTGGGGGAAAACAAAAGATGAGAAGAACATCGTCGAAGGCAATTTACATTTAATTTGACAAGACCTATCGTAGATTTAAAGCAACATACTAGATGTACCATCAGACTCAAATCACGGAGAAGATTGTGGCATAAACAATATTTAGAGACTCACTAATTATGTTAGTCTGGAGCATTGGGTCGTAGGATCGCTTCATAGGTTCAGGTCTGACGTCGGCGGTGGGCATCGCTGGCAGCTCTGGCAGCGCTGGCAGCAGGTTGTTGTTGAGTTCCCACTTGGCGGCGCTGCGGTCGCTGGTGAACGGAAACTGCGCCGGCCTGTACTGATACTCCTGATAACAAAAGACTCGACTAAAGTAAGCTGCGGTACATTCTTATGTGGACTGGTAACTTCAACACAATGAAATCTAACCCTTAGAATCTTAGATTGCAAATACGAGACAATGGAATTTAAAACAAAAATATACACGGACAATTCAAATGAGAAAATCACTAATTTGACTAATATTATAAATGCAAAAGGTTACATGGATGCAAGGATGGGTGGATGTTTTGGGTTTGGTATAGATGTAAACGATAGTATGGAAGAACCCATAGGCTACCCATTGTTGCTTCTTAATTCCACGCGGACGGAGTCCCGGCTTGTTAATTATAAAGGACAACGGTGTTCAACAAACAAAGTACATAATAAATAACATCCCGCCAAACTAAACTAAAAATAACATACTGACACTTTCTAGAACACAGAAATCTTATTTATAATTCCTCATGAAAGTTAAAACTCTATCTTCGAAAGTCATGTAAAGACCATAAAATAATCCAAACACCTCGTTAAAGGGTTATCCAGTAGGTTGATCGTTTAATGTAGCGGCAACTGACTCCAATGAACCGGAATGTTAGTTAACGGTCACGTTTTATCGTTATATGAACTCACCATAAATGCGGTTAACTACACCTCGGACGCGCTAAGTGAAAACTGTTTAGTCTGTAGATCGACTAAGAAAGTTATAATATAAAACATTTTTGATCTTATTTTTACTTAGTTTTCTTATCTTAGTTCAATTTAGCATGTTTTGTATCATAAAAAGAAATAAAGAAGAAAGTTTAAATTTATAAATGTAGTAAGTTTTGTACAAATCATTATTACTACAGTTTACTTAGTAATAAAAAAAATATTAATTTCTAGAAAGATTAAATTCGGTGAACAAATGTTACATTATTGTTACATCTTAACAATTACTAACGCTGCTGTATTTTGTATAGTTATTTATTGGAAGGGAACTCTATTTCCCGTCTCAAAGTAGTCATTAAGTTTGTGTGGGCCACGCGGCGCTACTAGCGTTCGCAATTAGACATCTCGTGCCAAATAGCAGCTCAATCAAGACCCAGTTTAATCAAACTTGCTTCTGCTCTGCGACCGTGATAGTACCTCATTAGTGTTTAGTTGAACTAAATTCGCTTGTAGATATATCTACAAGCTACGTACTACTACGTAGGATAAGATTGTAAAGTAAAATCAGTTTATAAAAAAAAACTAAAACAAGTCATCATCACCAGCTCACTATACGTCCCCGCAGGGTTCGGAGCCTAATAAGGGGTGACTAGGCCATAGTCAACCACGCTGGCCTACTGCGGGTTGGTTGAATTCGTAATCGACTGTGACTCTAAAACGTGGTTTATTGTAATTACGTCTTATTTTCTATAGCAAAAAGAATTACATGATTATAACGCTAAATCCACCTAAGTAATTTAATCAGTAATTAAAGTAAATTGTGATTATGTAACGATCATTAATGAATATTAACCGTTAATTATAACCTTAAATTTTACTAGTATAACGGAACTCCGGCTCTAATGAATTCCCAACTCGAAAGACAACGTCTGCTTAATTAATTCACGTTTCACAAATTACATAGAATTAAACGAAAAATATCAATACGAATTTTCTTCATCCTTTTAAAGTCATGACATCACAAGACAAAGTTAAGAACAAGAAAATAAAAAGAACTATGGTCTTGCCACTAAGGAAACTAGGACATTATTTTTTTAAACTAACTTCAGAAGCATTTTTCCCCAGAAGAAAATTTTACACACACTATTCCATTTATGTTCATACTAGCTTTCGCCCGCGACTCCTTCCGCGTTTAATTAAAAAAAAACAAAGTGAGTAGCCTATATTCTTTCATACTATCTAAATCTATACCAAATTTCATCGAGGTCGGTTCAGTGGTTTAGGCTACAAACTCTAACAAACATTCATCCTACTAAACTTTCGCATTTATATTAATAAGTTCATTTCTTACTAAACTTATTTACCTCTTACGAACGTTATAGTAATGTCCCAAACTGAATGTTATAATATACCTTGGCGTTCTGTTCCATCAGAATGTTCCTCAATCGTTCCTGCTGCGCGCCCTCCTCCGCCGCGCGGATGTTCTGTGCGTAGTGCGCGCGCAAGTACTCTATGTTGAACTTGATCTCTTGTAGGAAATTGATCGCTTCTTCTTTTGTCATCTGAAATAGTTTATCCCAATTTATGGCCGGTTTCCCAGCTACGTTCAAACATTCGTTAGTGTTTTTGATTATACAACTTCGTGAAATACGTTTCCGAACTACATAACTTGAGTTTTACTCAAGATTAGAACATAGGTAAACTTACGCTGATGAATTAATCCGTAATGACAAAATTAATTGAGACTTCAGAAACCCAGCGTAAGTCACGCACTTTTTAACTCAATTTAGATCAAAGTATTCAGATGAACTGTTAATTGGTTTATTACCTTAGGAATTCTAAAAGTAAATTGTATATAGTTCAAGTTGCCGAGATAAAAGTGGAATGGGTTAGTTAGAGAAGCGTCTCGGCGTGACAAATTTGTCCTTGAGATATTAAAGAAGTTACCGGTGACAAAGTGTTGTGTCCTATATGTTGAAATACTCCTTGGAATTTCTGTTCTTTTTTAATCAAAAATATTCTGTCAAAAAAATGTTTTTTGTCAAGGATGACTTGTTTCTTTGTTTTATTATTTTTTTACAAAATAAAAATGTTTTAATAAATTGGAGTAACATCGTTTTTCCTTCTGTATTATAATTATTTCAACACTATATCTAGTCTATACATTTCTTGAATGTATGTGGTACGTGCAGAAACATGTGAATAAAATAGGATAGCGAATTATCTTGTGTACAAACCATGCCCTCTTGTAGGAAGTCTTCGATGGCAGTGGTGACGCCGCGCTCGTCGCCCGTCCAGAACACGTACTCCGCCATGTCGAGGGGCGAGTACTGCACGCCCGGGTACGAGATGTGCTCCATCTGATAATAATATTTCGTGTTATACATTTAATATCGAACTATAGCAATTTGGTACCCATTTATTATAGCAATACTAGCTTTTGCCCGCGACTCCGTCCGAGTGGAAATTAAAAAAAAAATAAGTAGCCTATGTATTCTTCCAGACTATGTTCTACATTTATGCCAGATTTTATCCAGATCTGTTCAGCCGTTTAGGCTACAAACTCTAACAAACATCTATCCATTTAAACTTTCGCATTTATAACATTAGTAAGATGTCTTAAAATATTTTTATTGCATTAAAGATAAATCTTACTATTATAAATTCGGAGGTTTAGATGGCTGAAAGGATGGATGTTTGGAGTTTGCCGCCTAAACGGATCTCGATGAAATTTGTCATAGATGGTGAGCATAGAGTGGAAGAAAACATATAGCACTATCTTTTGTTGTTTTTTTTTTTAATTTTACGCAGGCTAAAACTAGTACAAATGTAATCTAGAGCCATTGTTTATGTTTATTCATATTTTTATATATACACTAGGTAAGATGTATTTTACAAAAAGTTCCATTGCCATGAATCTGACCTCTTAACATAAGGTTGTAAAATGCAATACACGAACACCTGCTCTAATTTTCTCAGTAACATAAACTGAAACGACACGTTTGAGGGCGGGTTTAGTACCAGCTCTTGTAAAGGTATGCATTTTATAGGAAGAGCGGATAGCGACATAGCTCCGAAACTTTCACTGGAGGGTAGCTGACATATATGATCATATTAGAGGCTACTTTTTTAATTTCCGCGTAGTCAAAATGCCGTAACCGTTGTTAAAAATTTGCGCCAACGTAGTTTGCAGGCGACAGCTCGTTTTATAATAAAAATACAAGGTACTAAGTACACTATTTAAATAAATGACAAGTTTTTGAAAATGATATTCTCTACGTTTTATTAGCTTTCCCAACTTATTAAAATTGTTTTTTTTTTCTTGTTAATAGCAAGAATTGTGTCCAATTTTAAAACTATAAAGTAATCCAATACAAATAAATCTACAACACTATGACCACTACTTTACCCGTATGCAGTCTAACGCATTACTCTTTACGACAAAGTCGATGTCGTAAAATGGGTTAACTACATCCTACTCGCTGACGGTTTGTTCTCTAGAATTTTCTAGGTTAGAAGGAGTTATTGCCGATAGATAAGTAGCCAGGAAATTACATGTCACATCACAAGAACCGGGAACATAGTATTTTCATTCCTGGTATACGTGTAAGAATATGTTGCCATCCCTATCTCTGACTTAGAAAAAGACAGAGATAGTGGTATGTCTTCATACAGGTGTAGACAATTGAAAGTCACGGTAACGTTGAAAGTTTTTGTTGGTTAAATATTTCCTATGAAACAAACTTTTAAAGTAATCTTTTTATCTATACTTTAAAGATTTTTTATTTATGTATTGAAATAACCTAAAAACCACTGGGCCGATGTCAATTCAAAATTCAATTCAATTCAAATTCTTTCACCATTTGAAAGCTACGGTATCAGTGAGTAACATAGACTGTATTGTTTGTTGCTATTTTTTAATTCAACGGGGAACAAATCGCGAGCAACAGCTAATATTGTTGTAATTTAGATAATCTTATGTTAGTTAAATACAAAATATAAAACATCTTTTGATTAATAGCATTGTTCACAGACATTACTGTATTTCCTTTTGAAGTTAACCCCAAATTAGAGTGTATTGTTTCGCGCATTGTTCGCCTGACCTGGATACCTGATAACCTACTAAGAGCAGTTCAAACTGGAACTAACGAGGGGTCAAATCGATACGTATCGTATAGCGGGATTATTAAAAGAAATGAGATGTCATTTGTTATTCTCAAGAAATATCAGTTCACGTATCTTTTGTTGAACATCGCGGAAGAAATTTATTCGACATGAAAACCTATTACGATTTTTTTTAATATTACTGAAGAAAGAAATAGATAGTTAAACACTATAAAATATAACAACTAAAGGCTATTTTTACCAACCAATCCTTAAATTTAAAAGTCCCTTAAGCATCTAAGGACTCTTAATAAAATATTTTTTTTCACCAAAGTTTAAGTGTCGGTAAAATATATTGAAGTATATTGACTAATTGCGCGATTGTCGATAGTTACGCAGTCCATTGGACTGTTTTGTTGCACAACTAAAAATCCAGTATTGTGCGCACCTCCATATAAGCTCATAGGAATCAAAGCACGACTAAACAGTTGTGCGATAGTTTAGTTTCAGATGTGCACGCTCTGACAATACAGCGCGTATGCTTATTTGTAAAACTTACATTGTTCCTGTTGTCTTTGGTAATATCTGCGTTAAATGCTCGTCGCACGGCGGAGTGATTCGGCGGGTGGTTGGCGTGGGCGGCGGGGTTGTTGGATGACGTGGCCGACCCGGGTTGCACCAGACGGGCAGCACCATGGAACACCTTGGAAAATAAATCAACATATTTCTAAATAAGATTTTCCAGCTTCTTTTATTTTCCTTTTGTCTTTACTTATTCCTTCTTACGCAAAGAATAGTAACGCATCCGTAAAGATTTTGAATCTACATAAGGTGAGTCGTTTCTTCTGTTTTTAATAAAACTATAAAATAAACTGTAATTTTCATAATTTATAACAAAAATTGAAATAAGATGGTTTTTCCAGACCTAGGTCTCAAAATTTAGTGCTCAAACCCCTGTTTGTGAGAGCGTCCTGTATTGGGACTCACAGATGGGATGATTTTGACATTTTGACAGTTAACATAGGAAAGGTTGAAGACAGAAGAAACGACTTACCTTATGTAGATCTAAAATCATTCCTTATAGGCTTATAATAATACTAAGATTGTTATTAAAACCGTTAGATTTTGAATACATAGCTATGTTAGGCTAAGCAATATAATGTCAAAGTTCAACATCGTATAAACCAATTATCTACCATCAAAGCAGCTTGTACGAGTAATATAGGTCAGAACGGTTATTGCGTAAACCAATCACACCTAATAACATCTGAGAGGCAATTTCAATGTCATCGAATATCGAATTCAAAGCAATCGACTTATGATTCGATCGCATGTATAATGGTTTGTTGATAACCGCAAATGCTATTGCTGCGGACACGGCATACAAATCACTTGCCTAACAATAAACATGAACAGGAATCTGTAAATATTATATTGTTTTACGTATTTTATTAAAATACGAGCTGTTCCCGTGCGTTGTTTACATTTGTGATATCAATTTCAAATGCACAAATGACAACGAAGGCCTTTGACATTGGATGACAATTACTGTTACCATAACAACCTTACTTTTTGGTGTCAACTTGTAGTTATTGTCCCTTTCCCGCATGGAGGCTTTTTCCAATTTAGTTACCCTCTAAATTTAATAGCGTGAAAATATATAGCCTAAAGTGTGTCGTAAATTTAGGGCTTTTATAAAAAGGTTAATTTAAAAATATGCTGTGATTCCAGTCATAACTAAGTAGTGAGTTTACGCTTTATTACATTAGTATACATGAAAGTTAATAATAAGATATAGTAGTCAAATACCTTAGTAGTCTGCTCCTCGCTAGCGACAGTGGTAGGTACAGTAGCGTCGACTACGCTGACATGCGTTCCATCTTGTACAACCACCTTGTGCACTCCCGCTGCTGGTATGTCGAGCTGCGCATGCGCATGCATTTGCGGCTTCTCTCCCGGGACCGTGTCAGCTGATGCGTGCTGCTCGAACTTAGATACAACCTCACCGTCTTCTTTTATAGCATCTACGAATAGTATTATAGCTTTATTTTTTTATTGGTGAATGAAATAAAAACTAATGTGGTAGCTAATACAGAAGAGTAGTACTGTGTTACTTTTCTGTAGTAATACAACAGAAGACGTAATCCGCATTAACTTCGAAGACAACATAATACGGGTTATAAATTCAGAAACTTTAAAAAAGTTATAACACAGAAAAGCATTCTAAAGAACCTTTTCACGAAAAAGCGGTAGCATTTTTGAAGCTTTAATCAGAATAAAATAGCATTAAAGTTATCATAATACATTTCGAATTTTCATTTTGTATTCAGAATAAAACTGTGATTTTGGTCTGAAATATTAGCGGGAAAAGGAAAATTTTCCTAAAAAAAAGGTTACTAAAATTCACGATAACAACTTAAAAATACTCAAATTATTTCATAGGATAATAAGATAAATGAATTGTTTAATGATGTAAGCAAATTATCTCTATAACTTTATATTTCAACTTTTTATTGGAACAGTTGCTTACAGAAATATTCATACACATATGTACAAAATAATAGTGTAATTTAGTTAGACACGGTTCAAGTTGGTAGAGTTAATTAAGTTTTCATTATACCCCTGAGGCAATGCGCATTTGCCCTATAGTAGACTATCAAAAACCATATATGTATGCAAAGAGTTTTTAAGACAATTATACAAATTATTTATTTTTTTTTAAATTTTCGCAGAATCGACTTAAGAGATGCGAGGTGTAATTCGGTCATAGACTTTTACGTAATATCAATTCAATTGTAAAGATAATATTACCTAGTTCGTGAAATTCAACGTGCTCTTTCTGCAGTTCAAGCATTTCCTTGCTGGTATCTGCTGCAACAACAAAAACAATTTGAGGTTTTTTCAAATAAGTGAAATGTGTGTTTAAATATACTTGTTCAATAGAATGGTTAAAATTAAGAAAATACATTGTTATTAAATTTTATATTACATAAAAAATAAGTAGACAAATTGTAAATTCAAAATTCAAAAATATTGTCTTCAATTGAATACACAACTTTGAACTGGATATCTACGAAATACTCTACGGTTTGCTACAAAGTCTACGATAAGCTACGAAGTCTACAATAATCTACGAAGTCGATATCGTAGCATGAAACACGAAGCTGACGGGATCAACCAAGTGTGTAGATTACTTCTTTCTTTTAGTTTAGTTATTTCGTGTTCAATAAAATAATGTAATGTTTTTTTACAATCTCGATTTTTTTTTAATTTCACTTTATATGTGTACTTGTTAAAGGTTTCCAGTGTAAAGCAATTTTATTGCCTTCTCCATAGCTTTATCTGTTTATGCGGCAATCAAGAGAAAACTGCAGCGTTTATTCCCTTAACAGCTTCATTTTACGACCAAATAGTATTATTAAGCACCCTACTCTCACATTACAGTGAATTATTTCACAGATTGTATTATATTAAAAAAAAACAGTATAAAAAGTGAATAAAACATTAAAAGTACACCCTCATAATTGTACTTTATATTGCAATATTCATTGAACATAGAAAGGGTAATTTTGTACAGTTAGGCACGAACTCTTTGAAGTCAGGGCCTAGTATTCAAATGTTTACTGGAATAAACACTAGTGCGGTTTGTAATCTCATTGCCATTCGATGCGGGTGTAACATACACGTTGTTTGTATTTGAAAACATATTATCTGTTATCTGTATCCACTGATTAACACATGTTTTTTTTTTTAGAACATAAGGTGGCAAACAGGCAAGCGGCCACCTGAAACCGCCAAAATGGCGAAGCGACCCTGCCCATAGACATCCGCAATTGCATATGCGTTGCCTACCCTTATACGATGGAGGAGGAGACGCACATAAAGAGGATATTTCCCCTTCCTATGCTTCTCCTCCACCGTCAAATCCACTTCCCCTTCCCATCCTCTCCTTATAAGAAAAGGGTGATATTAGAGAAAGGGACTTAAATTAGGACTCCGGCACCACACTCATCAGACGAAACACGGAATTACTTCCACTTCACCCATTCGTGCTAAGATGTTAAAGCGGGCACTACCACTGGCATATTGTAACATACTGGCAAATTCATATGGCCGCATACTTGTTTGACACCTTATGACAGCGTTTTTGAAAGTGGGCGAAAACCTTGAGGGCGTTTGAAACCTAGAGGGGGGCGTTATAGGGCCCCAGAAAAAATCGTGGGAGTTGATGTGGGTTAGGGGGGCTATGTATATGTAATTTCATTTATTTTATACTAGCTCCCGCCCGCGACTCCGTCCGCGTGGTATTAATGAAAACAAAAGAAAGTAGCCTATGTGTTCTTCCAGACTATCCTCTACATCTATGCCAAATTTCATCCAGATCCGTTCAGCCATTTAGCCTACAAACTCTAACAAACATCCATCCATCCATCCATCCATCCATCCATCCATCTAAACTTTCCCATTTATGATATTAGCACGATAATATTTTAAATTTCACTAAAACTCTATAAAAATGGCGCTGAAAAAGCATTGATATACAAACGGGGCGGTAAAAGAAATAAGTTTGATAAACTCTGCCTTATGAGATAAATAAGTTTATTCCTAAATAACAACAATTGTTTTCAAATCGGACTAAATATAAGGAATAGCATCGCGTATCTCTAGATAGATAAAAATAGTACATTTGACCTACTAACACGGAATGAAATGCGACAGCGTGACACAATAATCCTGTCCACATCGAAATTGGATCGTAACGTGAACCGGAACGCTTCCTCCTTCACTGTCTAAAAGTGTCTTAACCTAACACAATATTGCATTACAAAGAAAATAGTAAACTAGATAATTTATAGAACAGCAACGCAATAACAGTCATATAAAGTTTTTTGTATATCTATTTGTTTGTATCTTTCGTAATTTTCTTTTGTAAGTTAGAAGATACTTTACAGAATTGAAATAATAAAAGATAATTGAAAAAAGATCCACGAGACATGTCATTATCATAGTTATATAAGTTTTTTCCGCGACTTAGTCCGCGCGTATTGAAAAAAATATGTTCTACATCTGTGCCGAATGACATCGAGATTGGTTCCACCGTTTTGCCGCCAAACAGCCTTATATAAATTCATCATTTATAGTAATATTATAAAGAGTAAAGATTTGCATTTTTGTATGTATTGAAATAACTCAAAAACTACTGGGCCGATTATAAAAATTACCGTTAGAAAGGTAATTTATCTGTGAGTAACATAGGCTATATTTTTTAAGCGGGCGAAGTCACGAGCAACAGTTAGTTCATAATATTAGTAAGAAGATAGTAAAATATAAGATATGAACCTTGTAATTGCAGACAATATGGCAATGACAGAATAAACATAATACAGCAAAATATAATTTCCGTTCATTCATTCAATATTAAAACATTTTATCAAGAGATTAAAAAAGTGTAGAATACGAGACAGTACTTAAAATCTTAAATATTTATGGCACATTAATGTCATAATAAAAGAAACAAGAACGGTCACAGTTTTCCACCGAGAATTGTGTTAACTAAAGCGAACGGAAAAACACTAATGCGGCTTCAATGTACATTTACTAAACACCGAAGGAATATTGGCTGGGTGGTGATTACGCCGAGTGCTAGCACTTGAATACTGAGTGGAATTATAAGACCGAAACGTAACGAAAATAAGAGAAAATCATTTTGTATAAGCATATTTACCTTAGTGTAATTTTGATTAAAAAAAAATTTGATATCTTATTTTTTACTACCTTTCGTCCGGGAATCTGTTAGCATGTAACTAAAAAAAAAAACAAAATTGAGTAGCCTATGTATTCTTGCAGACTTTCCTCTCCATCTGTGCCAAAATTCAACGTGATCCGTTCAGCAGTTTAGGCTACAAACTCTGACTAACATACATCCATCTAAACTTTTGCATTTATAATATAACTAATAAAATGTCTTGTTACTAAAATCCTCATCGTTATACCTAACTTCAATAACAAATAATAACTCACTATAGAAACAAAAACTGTATTTCAGATTTTAATGAAGTGGGTAAGGAACAAGAATATAATTAAAAACACAGGGTAAGCTAAACAAAACCGTTTATACTTAGCCATGATAAATTTTCTACCAACATATAGAAAAGTGTTCCGCATTACAGTGTCGAAGGTATGAAAAATGATTTGTCAAAGATTGATCGATCCTTCACGGGGAAAGAAAATATTGTTGTGCACATTTTTATAACACCTACATCGTATTACTACTTTATAAATAAATATTTTGTTCTTTTTAGTTTAATATTTGTTAGATTATTGAATTTAGTAAAATTCAAAAGGAACACTCATCTCCATTGAAAACGCATAATTTGTTAACTTAAACGCGACTCTTAATGTGACTGTAAGTTAATTCTATCTCTATTATATACTTCTACTGCTCAATGTAGCCCTTGCCGCCATCTTTAAAATGGCTGAAATCTAACATATATAAAACCCCGCAAATTTTAGTAGTAGATTTATAGAAGTAAGATATCAAGATAAAAAGGAAATCTTATCATTTTAGAGTCCACAGTAAATGAATACAAAATTATTATATGTTACGTTATGTTATCTATACGTATAATAAAAATGTAGTGACTGTAATATCAAAAGAAAAATTCCAGATTTTGGGAAGATTATGTATTTGCGTTGCTGATAAAGAAAATCACATTTATTTTTTTTTATCTATCCGTCTGTCCGTAAATCCGATTTTGCCCGGAGTTCCACTAAAGGGTAGCTGACATAGACGAGCACATTTAACAGTATTTTATCTTTATATCGCGTGGACAAAGTCGCGAGCAACAGCTAGTATACAATGAAATGTTTACTCGACATGAATGTTATGTGAGATAGATAAAAATATCGAAGCCCGTCAATGCAATTAGGTCAATGGAATCGATTACCTTATGGATATGTTCAAACACCGGATATTCTAGTTCACCCAGATATGCCTTGACAATTCAAGTACTTTGCTGATTTATTTCCTATTAGCTTTCGCCTGCGACTCTGTCTACGCGGAATTAAAAAAAAATCAGTGTATTCCATCATGATCCGTTTAGAGTAGGCAACAAATTCAAACAAACCTCCATCCATGTAAACTTTTGCGTTTATAATATTAGTAAGATTTGTAAGCAGCAAGATGAAATGTGCGAAACTAACGTATTCGGTTAATGATGTTATCATTATGGGAATTATGTTTTAGGAAGAATAGTTTATATAAAATGAAATAGATATGTATATGTGATATGGAAATTATAATTACAGAGAATTCATAAGCTTTGTTTCCAAAATAATGGTGAAACAACTAGAGCTTAAAACAACGTGACAGAAGCTCGGCTTAAAATAATTTATTCATAAAAACAACTTAAAGCTTAACAAGTTTTTTCGACGTACGTTTCAGAAGCAGTAGATATTTCAGTCGCGTTTTCTCGCATTTCTCATTTCAGTCACATAGTGTCATAAAACATCCCTGAAGTTGTTTGATTCAAGTTATGAGATTATTTGGACCGAGTGTTATACTTTAACATATCGTATATTTAAGTAGTTTAACCATAAAATAGTAGTTTAGGGAAACACATAGTATAAGTCCGTATTATGTGGAAGGCACCAGTAATATCTGTCCATTTGTGGACAAAATCTAATGATGTTGGAATATATAATTTGTTTTTTTTTCGAGTATAACATAGACAGTACAGACAGATGTATTTATGTACAAGTATTGCTACAAACAAAATCAAAGCATGTTTAATAAAAATAACAACCTTATATATTAACAAACTAGCTGTTCCCGTGTGACTTCATCAAATTCAATCTATCAAATTATCAATTACAAATGTCAAAATGATATGACATGATGACAACTTATGGTCTTTTTCCCACATCAGGCTTTTTATCCAAAATATTTACACTTTATTATAATAGTATAATTTATATAAGTGTACATAAGGATAGTTTATCATACTGGAAAGTAATTACGAATAAATGCTGTGAATTCGTGCGTCACCAATAGACAGGATGTTTCTAAAACAGCTTCCAGATTGCTATTTCGGTTGACAGAGGCAGCGGCTCACCACCGTAGCCAATTATTTCAAGCAACTACGTGCTGAACGTGACGCCGGAGTATTGTTCGGAATACAAACTTGGTGTAAAATACCGTGGATACCAAAATTACTACAAAATATGTTAGATATCTTTTTTTCAAAGATAATAATAAGAAAAGGTAGAACGATAACAATTATATTTGAATGCTTTTAGTGGTAATATTTATATCGAATATTATAAACTATCTGTTCCCATGCGACTTCATCCGCATAAAATTTTATTTTATTGTTTATATTTGTCAAATTATCAATTGCAAATGTTAAAATGACATGACATGGTGACAACCTTGCTTCCTTGATGTTGACAGCTCGTATCGTATGGTCTCTTTCCCACATTAGGGATTTTATCAAAATATTTTTATTAAAAAAAGAATTGTTCAAAAATTTGCTGTAATTGCTGAGTTCTTAGGCAACAAAGAAATGTGTGTATACGCTTTATTATAATAGTATAGATAGAAGTATAGATTTTTAATTCACATCAGTTGTAAGTTCTTCGACGTAATAATTGCCACGTAAATTTAAAAAAATCCATATACTCGTATCATTTAATTATTCTAGTAGCTACGACGGAAGTTAGAGTAAAATGGATTATATTTTTAATCTCGTTTCAAACATGACACGCGGCGCGACCCCGCCTGTTGCGTCACTAACAATGTTACCCTTGTTTGACCTTTCACCAACGAGTTGTTTTTTGCGTAGCGTAGAACACGTAGAATCCTTGATATATCTGTAGGCATCCATTTTATTTATTCCACGTTGTTATAAAGCTTATGATATGTTTTTTCTCTATTTAATATAAAATACGAAATGAAAAATTGTTACTATGATTCTAGTAGGCAGACGTTTTGGAATTTCATTTTGCTTACGTCTAGAATATCTCTGATGCCTCTAAACTTAATTAGAACAAACACTTTATTTGCACAACTATTTCGAATATAATACTGTTTTATTAATAAACTAGCTGTTCCTGTTCTACTTCATCCTCATGAAATTATGAAAGTTTTATTTTATTGTTTATATCAAATTATCAATAGCAAATATCAAAATGACATCACATGACAAACCTTAGCAATCTTTCTTTCTTGATGTTGGCAGCAACTTATTGTCTCTTTCCCACATTAGGGTTTTTATCCAAAATATTTACCTCCCAAATTTAATGGCGTTAAAATACATATCCCAAAACGTGACGTAAGACGTAAGTATAGGGATTTTTATTAAAAAAAATAATTTAAAAATGTTCTGTAATTACTGACATCTTAGGAAACGAAGATAAGTAATCTATACACTGCTAACTATTTGTTATGCCAATGTTTGGTATATTTACATTACATTTTACTCAAACAGGTATTAATTGGATAAACAGATTATGTAAAACTATTAATATTTACATAATTGTTTTCATAGTACCCAAAATTCGGTAGAGGAATTGTTTGTTCAAAACTTTATAATCTGTGTAGTACTCACCCAATTTTAACTTTTCCAATTGTTCGACAGGAACATCCTGTAACGAAATATAATAGTTAGGATAGATTATCCTACTATAATCTCAAAAAAACAGACGTAATATGCTTGAAAAGAAAGTAATAATAAACAACGTTTTTATCTCTAACTCGATTCAATTTATGTAACACATATGTATAATAAAAAAATAAAAAAGAATCGTACTCAGGGGTGCTTGTTAAAGTTAAAATTATTATCAACCGCAGCAAACTTTTGAAACATTTGCGCAGTGTGCCAATTTAGATATAAAAAAAAGATTTAAAAATTTCTAAGCAGAAATGATAGTGCTCAACTGGTTTTATGTTTTTAATGTAAAAGTTATGTATATGAATAAGCCGGTTAAAACAATTTCTCATCAAAAGAACTGCCACTAAAACTTGTCTGAACCAATAATTAAAAACGGATCAATTATCAAAACAAGGCTTTCTACGTACAAGTTACCCAAAAACACAATATTTGTATATTTGTAAAAAAAAATATGAACTCCCAATAACACACCGTAGCACCGCATTAGTATTCACAAAGTGTAGTTCTTGAATTATACATAGAATAAACAAGTGCAATATCTAGAAATATTTACATATACCCTCAGAATACTGAACTCTCTGCAGTAAATTCGAGAGTCTAAAAATATTTCTCGACGGCGACCAACGTCAAAGTAATAGCATATTTGCATACTTAACGCGATGGCAAGTTCGCGATCGGAATATTTAGAATGCTTTAACGAAAAAAATGCTTTTAATATCGTAGTTAGCAAACATTCGTCATTCGTACATACAAGTCCCTTTTTCATTTTATTGTATCCTTTGACCGTACTCGCATTTGATCCGGACAAATAAAATCACAAAGAGAAAAATAAATTTAAAACTCTCAAACGCAATTTGGGACATATTTGTAGTCTTTTTTGTTGATTAAATATTTTTATCTTTCAAAGGCAATTGCAATCAGGATAATAAAGTGACGTAATTGTTAACACACGAGTCCCATCTGTGATCTTAATAAATTTAAACAACTCACCGATTTACCGCCGTTCTCTCCCGATTCTGTAACAAGCACAAGGCACAATTGAATTTATTTTGTTCAAAATTTATAACCTACTAACTTTCGATCGCGACTCCGTCAAACAAAAATGAGTAGCCTATGTGTTCTTCCAGACTAGCCTATATCCACACCAAATTTAATCGAAATTCGTTCAGCCATAACTCTAACAAACATCCATCCATCTAAACTTTCGCTTTTAAAATATTAGTATGATATTTTAAACAGCAATAACTTTACTGTACAGATGTTCGTACACATTTTAGTTACCGGTCTATCTACGACAAAAATGCTTAAGAGCAAGAAGCAATCAAAATGTTAATAAGTGGAAAAAACAACCTTAAAATTCACTCCATTAGTTTTACAATAACAGTTAAGTATCTGATTACAAAGTTACAAACACATATAAATGTCAATACTCAAAATAAAATATCCACATAACACTAATATAAATTAGAACAAACAAAATACACTAAAAACAAAATATTCTCAAAAAAAACAGTACACTAAAAAGTAACGAAATAATTCCTTGAAAATAGTAAACCTACCTTATTGTAACTGTTATGTCTATATTGTACAATTCGGATAAAAAATGAATTATCAAAATCGGTCCACTAACGGCGGAGTTATGCCGTAACATACATAAAAAAAAAACATACAGACGAATTGAGTACCTCCTTCTTTTGGGAAGTCGGTCAAAAATTAGGATGCATGCACTCGTATGTTTCTTCTCACCATAAATCCACATAAAATTTAGCAATCATGTAGATGGCCAGAAGAACACAACAAAGAAGTATTTTTATAAACGAGTTTCAGTTCGCATAAAGCCGAATACTTATGTTCACATTTTCTGACATGCGAAGGGACAATGTGTGTGGAATGAAATCTTTACACAGACCAATAATCAATTAGATCACAGATAGAGCACAAACATGTTACCTAATTTGATGTTCCCATAACCTGAAGAATGTGATAGAAATATATTGATACGACAGGAACCATTCAGACAAACAGAATGTATTAAACAAATCGAGTTAAATGAAAACAACCAACAAAATACATAGCTGAAATGTTAGCTTGGTAATTACGATAATAATTGAATAAATTCTGTTTTTATTACTTTGTATGAATTGTATGTGAAAACTGACTTCCAATATCACTTAAAAGTGTTCCTCAAATGACAGTAAACAATTCATTAGATGGTTATTTAATTTATTTCACTTAGTTGAAATGATGTTGATAAATTATTAATAATTAGTTAGAACAAACAGCAGATGGCGTCCGCCTTCGCCTACGCGCTCTGGCATTAACCAAGATGGCGCCACTGAGAAAACTATTGCGTTATTAGAATGAAAAGTTGACTTTATTCTTTAGTTTCTTTTTGTTATTCGAATGGTGATGTTAAATTCTTAAATCTGCAAATGTCATATTGACAGCTATAATAAATGACTTACTTCTTACTAATATTATAAATGCGAAAAGATGGATGGATGTTTGTTACTTTGTAGACTAAACTTCTAAAGGGAATTTTATTAAATGGCATATATGTAGATCAAAGTACAGGGACAGAGTTGCGGGCGAAAGCCAGTATTAATATAATATGCTATTTAAACAGCTATGTCGCAATAAAACCGCTGACCGAGATAAAGTAGAGCCATTACACGCTGTCCAACTGTTGCGGCTGAGCGATAATATTTAACAACCTATTTGTTACGTTATACTCGTATTAACAGCTTTAACACGTTACATCCCACTACTACACATTCTCCATATCATTGTGATCTGACAAGCGGGTAGCACTCAATGTTTACAACACAATAAATTACATGAATTAGTTAGTTTATTCAATACTTATAGAGCTGACGCACACCTTACTAAACAATCGACGCACAGCAGTTGTGCGATTGTCATTGTTTCGAAGCCCATTCAACTGTTCATTTGGACAACTAAAAATCAAGTAGTGCGCTCACCTCTACTCGTATATATGGTTGTAGGAATTAAAGCAAGACTAAACAGTTGTGCGATAGTTTTGTTTGAAGTGTGCGCACGCTCTTAGTTAATAACGTCTATTTTCGTCACGTTTGTGACTATTTATCTATTTTATGGGTATTATACCAAATCCTTCATCAAATTTTATTATCATATCAAACAATACGTTCTCATAACATCGATAATTGGGACAAGGACGGCATATTCATTAGAAAGTTCTACGAACACCCTGTACGATGTCACACTTTCAATTTTGCCTAAAGTTTCGAGTTTGAATAATGGTATGTAATTAGTTTTAATAGTCATTATTTTGGAACTCATTTTAACAATAATTATTATGTTAAAGCCTCCTTTTATTTTTTTTTATTGTGGGTTCCTCTTCAGCGTTACATAATTTCGTATCTTTAGTATAAAGCAATAACTTAATTTAATTTCATACTTTGCTAGTACATTTCGTTCAGTATTTAATTAAAATAAAACACCACATTTCTAACAAATGCCTTTCTTTCCCAACAAAGTATCTTTAAGCCTCTATTTAATATCGCCAATTCCAAAATGAAACCTCGGTTTCTTATGAAAAGATAAGAAGGGAATTAAAAGAGTTCCGTTTTATATTGAAATGTTTTCTCGCGTGGGTGTCATTGAATTCTATTGTGATATTTTATAAAAATAAGTTGAAGAGTCAATTGATTTCTTTTTGTTCATTAATTTTTTGTTGTAATCGCCAAACATTGTTCAACATTAGTAATTTTGTTTAAACAATTTTATAATCCAACCTGTGCCAGTATAATTTAACTCGGGTTCTGAAATGACTGAGAAATGCAAGATTTAAGCACCAATATTTGCTTAAAATACGTGCTACGAAACAAATACAGCAGCATTCTGCTGCATTTGTTTCAAAAGCAGTGTAAAATATTTTCCAGCTTAATCTAAGGTTAAATGAAGAAAAAATGTTGTAAAAATATTGGCTAGTTAAAATGTCATTATTAAAAAAAAAATGAAACAATGATATTAGAATTTTCCTAGAAACATGTACACGAAGATTTTGTATAACTATCTTTGTTTAAAATCAGTGTAAGTAAACACTTGAGGCCAAACATTATTCCTTTTTTATTTGTAGGCTTACTCTATGCCCATGGCGAACACCGAGCACTGGTAGGGCGGCCATTTTGCGAATCGAGTCAGTTCCATTTGAGTCGCGACGGAATGCGCGCGCGACCATGTGTTCGGTGGACGTCAATTCAATATCTTAATCGAAACATATCGTTATGATCTATAATTATTTAGTGGAAATATGAATTGTGATATTGAGGATTACGACTACACCAATTATCAAGACAACTATTTTGTTGAAATACCTAAGTACCACGCCTACAAGAAAATGTCATAAATCACCCAATATTACCTGATGTTAGTCGAAAGACTTCATATTTATAATGAAGTAAATATTGCCAAGATGTTTGTTGTCTCAGAACAAAGACTTATTATAACTAGATAGGTCGGCCAGCCTATTTTTAGAATTCTATTGTGTAATTTCACTCCCCGTCCGCCTACACGCTCCTTACGTGAAAAAAGTGCTAAAACAACTCTGCATAAGAAAATGACATATTAACATGACACATTCTGTCGTTAACAATATCTTTGTTAAACATTTATGTAATGGTTTTTTATCTCATTAAACAGTAGAATGAATTTATTATTAGAAATTAATTGACACGTACTGTTGTATGGATGGATTGTGTGAAAAAGGATATGCTTAAGAAGGGAGTAAATTCAGATATGACGGCTGATAGAAATGTATGGAAGAGTAGTACATACTGTACCGACCCTCCGTAAGGGATAAGGGCAAGTGGATGATGAATTGACATGTATTAGTGTAAGTTTTCTATATACTTATACTATACATATATTATAATAAAGTGTAAACATACACTTCTTTGTTGCCTAAGATGTAAGCAATTACAGTAATTTTTAAATATTTTTTTTAATAAAAAGCCCTACACTTACGTCATGCTTTAGACTATATATTTTAACACCATTAAACTTAGGAGGTAAATATATTGGATAAAAACCCTAATGTGGGAAAGAGACCATAAATTGTTGCCAACATCGAGAAAGAAAGATTGTTAAGGTTTGTCATGTCATGTCATTTTGACATTTGCTATTGATAATTTGACAAATGTAAACAATAAAATGAAATTCATAATTTCTTGCGGATGAGTACGGATAAGCACGGGAACAGCTAGTGATATTATAAATCTACACTAAGTTACCATAATAACTGAGCAACTTTGACTGAGGTAATCATAAAGAACATAAAACACCAACGAAACTTAAATCGATTTAAATCCCAATTCAATAGTTATATTTCTTGATTTAAAAAAAATACATACCAACATCAAAATTTCTATTTTCATTAAAACTTGCTATTTTAATTTACATAATAATTGAAAACAAAATAAGACTCGTCGCCAAGCTTTTGTATAATTACAAGGAGATTATAATTTAGAGTAAAAGTTATTAAATGCTGTTGGTAAAGGAAATTCTCTCGAAATATTTGAGGTTTCTATTTTAAGCGTCTTCAGTAAAGCTTTACTTGGAATTACAATTTATAGTATTCTGCCTTTAAATTCCTTACTTTTGTATTCGTTAAAAGCTTGCAATATCTTTTTAGTTCTGTTCAATTTTCCACCCTGTTAAATAAAAAGGGTTTTTCTCGATTGTTCTTAGGACGCTAGTTCTACAGAACGACTCCTGAGAGATTCATTTCCCTAATTACGTCGATAAAAGAGACCTTTTTTAAGGAAAAGGCAGTTATCTGTACATCTTATATAACAAAGATGGTTCTCGTGACCTTTGTTTTTCAGCTAACCATAATTCCTATAATACTAAATTATGGGCGTTACAGCTATGTTATGCTTTAATAAAATATAGTCTTCTTTACCTCTTATGTTTTCTTCCTATTTGTACAGAAAATAACCTTGTCAATAACACCGTTTTCCATGTCCACGCTCGC